CCCTCAAAAAACCCCCTGTCCCCAGTGCCCCCCATCATGGTGAAGGAGCACGGAGCAGGGGCAGGGGCAGGGTCAGGCAGGATTCAACTTGCTCCGTTTACCTTTTTAGTAAACTTAGTGGTTTTGATTTCCACAAATGCAGCCGTCACTGCCTTCAGGTAGCTGCGCTGGTTGTTAAAGGTGACGCGGCCAGACCCTGGGACAAAAAGAAATAAAATAATAAAAATAAAAGCCAGATGCCGAGGGCTAGATAGAGCAGGAAGAGAGGGAGCATCTTCTCTCCCAGAGTGTCATGCAGGCCGGGAGACCTGGGCCTAAGGGACCAACTTGGGCTCCAGACACCCACAGAAGATGTTACAGTTGTGCTGTAGGAGGAGTGCAAAACCCTCACAGGGCTTGAAGGACAGACAGACAAGTTGCACTCATAGTCCTCACCCCCCCTCCGACCCTTGCGAAGCCAGGGTGCACCCAGTCAGGAGACTGGAGGAACCCTCTCTGCTTGCACTACCAACCCAAGGCCCTGAAGGGGAACCCAACAGGAGGGCAGTGGCTCCCAAACGCCGGTGGGATCATCACTTACCGATGGGATACTTGTGCTTGTCCGTGTCAATGCCGGCATAGATGACGCCTCCAAAGAGGTCGTGCATGACAGCCGCCAAGGCCTCGGCGTTGAGCATCCCATGAAGAGCCCCAACGAAAACTGTCTTGCTGGGGTCGAGCCGCTGCGAGGGGCTGCGCACAAAGTTGCTGTCGGCCAGCACCCAGGGGATCACCTGCACCTGAAACCACCCGCAAGCAGGCCAGGGTCAAGCCAAATATGACGGGAGCTTCTATCCGGCTTAGCAGAGCACCTCCCTGGTCCCCAGGTTTCTCATCGGCATCCCCTTTCGAGGCTCCTCACCTCTTTGCAGCGCATCCTGCGGCTGGACATCTTGAAATAGTATTCGCTGAGCCCGTCAGGGCTCAGGAGGTCCTGGGAGCACGCCTGGAGGAGAGCGCGCACAGATTTCTCCGACTCAAACACCAGGTAGACGTACCCTTTGGGGAGGCGAAGGGAAAGGAGCCATTAGAACCACAACGAAGGGGCAAACAGATTCTCCTGGCTTGCAGACACCCTCAAAAATAATAATAAAAATAATAAAAATCACTCGCAGGTGCCACTCAAAGCGGTCTGTAGGAAGCCAGACTTCACTTCACGGTTGGGATGCCTTGGCCCAGAAATTCGCATCCACGGTTTCGAAAAAAAAAATTAAAAAAAATCCACCAGTGCTGGCGCTCCATCCCTTGCGTCAGTGACGGAACGAGACCATCGGGCATCACTGAGCCTCGTAACGAGCCGCTCCTTACCCCGTAAAAGTCATCACCACTTAACACAACTCATCAGCCCGTCTACTTCAGGCAGGATTACACGCCTGCCGCCTGCGGACGTGCAGTTGAATTCGCTGCAGAGTTTTCGGCGCTCATGCTGGTGGTGCCGACTAGAGGTCCTTGGCTCCAAAAGCCCCAGAGAAGGTTTCTCCCACCCCAGCCCTGCTAGGGGACAAGCAGGGACGCCAGATTTGAGGTGCCAGCACTCCGCAACCCAAGTGAGAGTGGGAAATTTACCCTAAGGGTGCTCTGTACCATACAGTCACCAGCATGCAGCCGTACCAGCCCAGCCTCCGTGCTGTAACATAGCATGGGAAAAAAGTAACCCTACCGTGTCGCTATTACCTTTAGGCATATTACCTTTGGGAGGGCAGCGTGGGTGTTTGCCATCCTTACCGGGCCACTCCACACTCAGGGAGCCAAAGACACGGAAGGTGTTGATCAGTCCGGCTGCAAGGCAAAGAGATGACGAGTCAGCATGGCACCTGCCCCCCAAAAAGTTCTCTCCTACACCCCGAGGGCAAAAATCAAGGCGGAGGCCTCAGCAGGTGGTGGGGGATGATGACAGGGATCCACTCACCTTCTGTAATGTCCCATGGGACTCCTCCCAGGAACACTTTGCAGGAGTAGACGGGGTTCTTGTGGTTTCGGGGAGGCAACTGCCCACTCCAGGTGCAGGTCGCTTCATTCACGGCTTGGACCAGCACAAGCAAACACTCAGTACAGGACAGCTTACTTCCCTGCCCTCCCGCGAGCAGGGCACCATAATCCCAGCAGAGCTGCACCCTCCCGAGAAGCCCAGGGCCACCAACGGCACACGCTGAAGCCTGCTGAGACCCACTACCATCCCACTCACCTGCTGCCTGCCTGTGAAGCCTGGCTTCTCTTTCGATACTGAAGGGGTCTTCTGGAGAGTCCAGGAGATCCCAAGAAGGCCACGCGGATGCTCCAGGCCATCTTTTCGATGTGCTAGCTGGAGAGGCGGTTACTGCAGCCAGAGCAGCTTGATCTTGATCCAACCGGGAGCCCACTCCCATCTTTAGGGGGTCTCTTGACACCCCACTGAGGGGCAGAAAGGGCAGAGGCGGGGAGATACGAAGGCTTGACTGCAAGACAAAGTCCAGCATTAAGCCCCAGCAGCACAGTCTGGGTCAGCAAGACAGACACTCACCCTGCTCATCAGTTTCCAAATTTAGCCATGCTTTAGGGAACGGGAGCTGCTAGACCCAGTTTGATCTAGGAGAAACCAGCCCTGAGACAGAGAAGTGCAGGCAGCAAACGGGAAGGGCAATGAAAGACAGGGACAGGAGCTCCTGAGGAGCCCAGCCCAGAACCTACAGGCAGTTGTGCTGCTCAACCACCTCCCTTGCTGGGATCAGGGAGGGCAGAAACCCTCCTGCCACACACAAGCTCAAGCACTCAGGCCCCTCCAGGAGTTGCTTTAACCCATTAGGCCTGCATGCACAAAAAGCCAAAATGTTATTGAAAAGAAAAAATAAAACAAAATACGAGAATACCACTAGCTAGTGCTGTGACAGCTCTGTCCATTTTTCCCTTCCCTAGCCCCCCTAGAAATGCAGCAAGAACCCAGGAACCAAAACTCACAATCAAGTCTGAGAGGTGGTCAGAGCCCGAGCTGAACCCGCTGGTGTCTGAGTCCGAGGGGCTGCTGGAGCGGGAATCCAGGAGGGAGCGGGAATCCAGGCGGGTATTTCTCAGTGTCAGCGTGGAAAACTTTTCTGACAGGTCCGAACCAATGGGGTCTAGAGGCAGGAAACCCAGCAGGGGCTTCCCCAGGACGTTCCCGAGAGGGTTACTCAGCATGCTGAGAACTGCAAGGGAGAAAGAGCCCGTCAGTGCTGCAGCATGACACACCTCCTTCCCCTCCCGGCTCTCATGGCAGAGCTCCAGGAGGCTCCCAGGCTCCTGTCAGCCCACGAACGGCTCATCTGTCTGGCAGGTACCAGCTCCAGGGAGATCCCAACTTCATAGACAAGCAGAAGCTGTGAGGTCTGGGACCTCATTCAGGCGCCCCCTCCGCACACATCAGCCTGCATGGGAGGTGGCTATAGGTAGCCCATGACAACAAGCCTGTCTGGTCGGGCCTTTGCCCGAGCGCCAGCAGATGAGGACACACCAGACTGCTTCCCTCACACAGCAGCAGGTTTTCCTCCCACCAAGGAGCATCGAGGTGAAACAAATTCCCACCTACGACACAGAGCCGCCTCCCCAACACACATGCCGAGCCACCAAAGGGTCATGAAAGTCAGTGGTGTGGGGCGAGCTGCCAGCCAGGAGGAGAGGGAACGCAGAATCCCGTGGGGGCACGACACTGGGCAGCTCTGTTCAAAAGGAGCAAGTCTCAGCAAGCTGACTGTGTCCCCAAAGCAAACGAAAAAGAGCAAAACATTTCAGAAATGGTTTTAATTATTCAGAGTCTGCAAAACGAGGCGGCTTGCCCTGAAGCCTTTCAGTTTTCAGCAAAGCAAGTTTGGGATCCACTCGATACCCTCCAGCCCCACCTGATCCCAACCAGCTAGGACCACAAGCTTTTTAACCCAGATTTTCAGCAGCTCTCACATAGAAGAGGATTAATAAAATCCAAAAATGCTGCCCAAACCAGATGAGTTACAAAAAAAAAAAAAAAACCTGCCACCATGCTCCAGCACATTCAGATCAGACACCAGCACCCACCTCAGCACCAGGGCAAGCTCCCAAAGGGAAATGCTGGGACATACTGGTCCCGAGCCATGTTATCCATCTGGATACCTGCTGGGGAGCCGGCCCAGCAGTACTTACCCCGGGCAGAGCTCAAGCGGCAGCAGCCCTGCTCGCCAGCTGAGGGAAAGCTCTGAGAGAGGGAAGGAGACTGCTCCCTCCTAGACACGGCAGAGAGCAGGGCAGAGCATCTCCCAGCCCAGGCAGAGCTGCACTCCACTGGTTTGCCGACTTCTCTGAAGCCACGTGACATGTTTTAAAAATACAGCCAAGCGCATTGTTTGAGGGAGACAGCTGAATTTGTTAAACGGGCTCAAAAAAAATCTGATTAGTCACTACTGAACAGTACCAGAGTCAAAGCAGAGCAGCTGATCCCATGCCCCAACCCTCGCTGCCGACAAATGCTCCGGCACTGGTGCCCTTCCTCCTCCTCAGCCACGGGTTTGTAGTGCCAGGCAGCGAGCAGCCCTGCGCCCACCCAGAGCAACCAACACCGTGCACATGTAGTTATGTCAGGTAACTACCCAGACTAAGGAGAATAAAAACCCACCACCCTTAAGTGCAATCCACTGATTTTTCACATCTGTGGGGGAAATTTTAAACACAAGGGTCAATGCAATTCCCTTTCACTTCTGGAGCTTTTCATGCCTTTGCTTGGAGCTGCAAGAGAGGCATATGCCAACCAAAAAAAAACCAAAAAACCAACAAAAACAAAGGTAGCTTTTAATAGAAACTCAGCTCTGACTTTTGACTCGCTGCTACAGCTTTAACGACTGGATTCGGAGCAGCATTCTCCATCTTTGAGCATGTCAGCCAAATGTTGACAGATTTAAGAGCACCGTGGAGCAGTCTCGATACCGGCATGGCCCTCTTCCAGTTCTTGGGTCGCTCCCTAGAGAACAAGCGTTTTTACAAACCGTCCTTCTGTCTTCGTAGAGATTTTCCCTAGTAAATGTTATCGGCATAATATACCCTCTTTAATCTCGGGGCCCCTAAAGATCTCAGACCCCCAAGCCAGATGCTTCGCAGCCCACATAGGTGGTTTCACAGGGTGGACAAACCCCGAATTAGCTTCTAAAACCCCGTTATCAACTGCCAAGCTACTGCATTCAACACAAACTTACCCAAGCAGATTGCTCTGCCGGCATAAAGCCATAATCCACAGCACACACCTCGATGGGGAGACACCCAACCTTCCCAAGAACAGCTTTTATTCTTTCAGGTGCTGCTTAAACATACAATTTAAGCTCTACTCTTTGCTGCATCAGTTTTGTCAAGTTATCTAAAACCTGAGCCCTGAGCAAAACAAACACCTCTTGCCTCATCACTACCCAGGTCCTTCCACTTGATATCTTTCCCCGCGCTGCAAGAACATCGGTGGAAGCTTCCCCGTAGAGGAAAACAGCGTTTGCCACATATCAAAGCCTCTTCACAAGCCCAAAAGCACACGTTGCCGTGCGCCGGCATGCAAGGAACTCCTGCTGAGCAGAGCAGCATGCCAGGTCCCAGATTCTTACATTGCCAGCAACGTCTGGCACCTGCACGCTTAACGCGCAGGCAGCTCCAACACTGCACTTGGCACCAGCGCTAGATGAGCACACATATGTTTTTCCCTTAAATCACACTCCGAGCCTTTAAAAGCTTGCTGCAGAGGTGGGGGAAGAAAAAAAAAGATTTAGAAGGGACCGGGGCAGGTCTGCAATGCCAAGGCCTTCGGAAAGTCACTTTCGCTGGCTGGCACCACCACCAATGCTGAGAGGAGATACTAGAAGTTCGTGTGCTGCGAGATTGTTCAGCAAGGACTAAAAGAGCTCACCCTCACCCACGACCTACCCCTTACACTGGAAATCCACCCTTCTGCCCTGATTTTCCTGCCGAGGCAGGGGCAAAGAGATCAATAGGAAAGCTCTTACCAAGAGAAGCAGGGCAGGAGAGACAGGTTTCAGTGCGAGCGCACTTCTGCTTCCCCTGGCCGACACCTGCCGCGCCCGGAGGCTGCGGAGCCATCAGCGCATTCAGGGCAGGGTGGCGGAGGAGGGAAGCAGCGTGACCAAGGCCCTGGAGACTGAACACAGTGAAGTTTCTTTTGTCATTTTAAAAAAAAAAAAAAAGAAAAAAAGGCTGATGTCCTGAACAATAGCCCACTGCAGTTCCAGAAAAACAGCTCGTCTGCAGTTTTTACCACTCAGTCAGGCTCTAACCCTGGTGGGGTGGGAGCAGGCTGAATGTTTTAGTCAGCCAAAAAGCAGCACCTCCTACGGACAACTGAGCAACTTTACAGCAAGAGAAACCTCTGCATGTCTACCTCCACCACCTCCCATACAGCAACGGGTAACACCTGAGTTACCAGGAAAATTTATTCCTCTTAAAACTGAGCAGCCACAGGACTAGACCTGAAGGTGGACAGGAACTCTGTCCTTAGGCCCCCCAGAGCTCATCCAAGCAGCACGTCAGATACCTCCAGAGCTCCTGTCCAGCTCAAATCCTCCCAATATGATTATCCTTCCATCGCTTCACTGGAAAAAAGAAGTCAAAGGCACACATCACCTCCAGAGCCACACACTGCAACGGAAACCTCAATCACATTGGCCAGCCACCAGCTTTCAAGAAAGAAAAAGAAAAAAAGAAAAAAAGAAAAAAGCAGCTCCCAGCACTATAGATGCGATCAACTACCACCTGAAAGGGAAGCTATGGCACAGCCCTTTTCGTTTCTGAACTACAAAAGAGGAACCTCTGCCCTGAGAGCTTCTTCATCTGGGGCGAAGAAGAGCTGAGGATATTCAGGCAGTTATTTCTGGTTTGCTGTGAAGGGGGGCAGGGGAATAATAAAAATAAAATAAAAAAAAAAAAAAAGGCAGCATGATCCCCCAGCTGAACTGCAGAATTAGAAAGTCAGGGCACCTGAGGTCTATTCTTGGTTCTGGCACTTCCCCGGTGTGCCCTGAAAAAAAAAAAGAAAGGAAACGGCAGCAGAGCTAGAACACTGAGAAGCTTATTGCATTAACACTGGAGAGCACAGGTCCTCCTCCTGTGCTGAGAGAGCAGGACCTAGCTTAAAACAAGCCTCGCTACTTCTTGAGGAAGAGAAGGTAAACCAGACGCTCAAGGTAAATATAAAAAGAAATTCTGTAAAGACAGCTAAAATGCTGCTCAGGACTGGAAGCGTGCAGGTAATTGCATTCACGGAGCAGCCTGCCACAACAGCGTTTCGTCTTTAACGAGATCAGAACATTGAAATACAGCAGGTTTTAACGTGTATCAGTCCCGGAGATATTTAAGAGCCAACATATTCAGGTCAAATTCTGCCACAACAAGCTTCAGCTTCGCAAGCCTCAAGAACAAACACTTCTATATTTAAGCACCAAACTCCTCTCTTATTATCTGCAGCAGCATCCAGGGTGCAAACGCCACAGCATGTGTTACTTTACGCGCTAACAAGGACGAGACTGACTCATTTTCTGCCGCTCGGCTGCACTGCCAGTTCGTGGGGTGTCAAGAAACCACCTCTAGGAGAAGGTGTTTTCTTTCTTCAGAGTGTACCCCTCTGGGCAAGGAATAACTACTTAAAAAAAAGGCAGGCATTAGTCCCAAATGCTATTTTACGTGAAAAATGGCACACAAGCCACTCACTCCATCACTAGATGGGCACAGGTGCCTGCATGTTCCCCGTTACCTTCCGGAGGTACCAAACCACAGCTCGCTTCACCTCTCCTCCGGGCTGCTGGAGAGAAAATAAGCCAGAGGGGTAAGGAGGGAAGCCAGGGCACTTCTCCGCGGCCTTCTCAAAGGGATGGTGGCTGCTGCTGCTGCGTCGGCGAGCAGCCTCCGAGTTGGCAGTGGCACAGACATCACCTGTGATTCAGCTCTTTTGCCGGCGCCTCAGGGATCACACGCACAAGGTGAGCGAGCCCACAGATGTGAGGTTCTGAGCTGGAAGATGCAGCGCTGGCCGAAGGGGTTTTTGGGTGGTGCGTGCCTGCTCCCACAAACAGTCTCCAGGCATCAGAGGCTGCCCTGACCCACTTCAGTTCTAGCTGGATACAAGCAGAGGTGCTGGTTCGGTTCCTATTCCAGTTACTCAGCTGTTCGCATCTTCTGTTCTACAGCATCAGCGCAAAAATAAATCTGCTTTGTTGAAGCTGTAAGAGGTGGATTAAAGAGCAGCTTCCATTAGAAACCTATCACAAGCTGAGAGTTTTGCTACTTGCTCTCACTTATTTGAGGGGGATTTTAGCCTGTTAAGGAACAAATACTACTGCCACACAAGCAGTCTCTGTGACTGTTAAGTGCTCCCTGCTTCCTACTCTGCAGCAGTTGAGAAACCAGAGCATGAGCAGCCCTGACTGAAGCACATCAAGAAATAAGCCCCCATGAAGCACCCCCACCTCAGAAAAGCTCTACGGTCTCACCAGCTTGCCCCCAGCAAAGAGTGCCATCAGCAGGGTGAAGGAACCTTGGACTGAGTTTTCCAGGCAGACTCAGGCTTAGACCCGAGTGAGGCTGCAGAGGAACCCAGGGTGAAGGGCTCCCTTTCCCAGACCTGAAGCTCCCTCTCCGCTAGAGGTCTGTTCTGGGGGGAGCAGCTTACGAGTCCCTCCTGCTGCAAGTGAGAAGAAAGGCTGGGAGTCTGTGACGACAACCGCCTGTGCAACAGGCCTTTGCTTTCATCCTTCAGAAACAAGGGTTTGCCTTGAAGACTTCAGAGCGATTCGTACTCGGAGGCCTCAGCTATCTGCTAGGCAACACGCGACAGCTCGCCTCCAGTTCTAGTCTGGGGGATTTTAGGCGACTACCAATAATCTGCACGGCCCTCTCAGGAAGGAAAGATCCTTCTGAAAACACCCTTTGCAGGTTAGTATTGCAAGCCAAGCATTAACAGCCTGGTTTTCAGATGCTTTGGCAGCAGGCAAAGCTTGCTGTCCCACATAGGGACAACAGCCTCCCAATGTAGGGCAGGACAGACCAGCCAGATCAAATAGCTATTAAAAAAAAAATTCCCCAAAAAACCCCAGCCAGGGAGACCCAAAATCTGCACGTGGAGCTGCTTGTGTGCTGCTGTCGCCCATTCTCCAGGCAAAAACTGGAACAAGACCCCATTTCCTTGTGCTCCTTGAGGAATAGAGCAGGGAAGGTAAAGGATATCATCAAGGGCAGCCCCATCTCCCTGCCTCTTAACCTCTCCTCGCCTCTGCAGGGCTCAAAGGCCTTGACACAAGTGTCTGAGGCTACGTGACAAGAACTGCCCCAGTTCGGGATAGCAGGACTGGAAGCTTTCCCTGCAAACAAACCCTTTGCTGGGGCCACAGGATGGGTTTCTGAGAGTTGCTGAAGTATTTCCAGCCTGGCAGATTGAGCAGCAGCAGCGGGATCGCGATGCCTTTCCCTTGCCATGAGACAGCAGTTCAGTCCTACAGCCAATAAATGCAGGCGGCTCCAGCCCGCAGCAGCAGCTGCTCTCTCCCGGAGATTTTTCCTCTCTCTAGACACCGGCTCTGGGGACCAGCAGCGCAGCTGGCAGACTCTCGGGGGCTAAGCACACATCTCCTTGGTGCCTTATGGCATCAGACCCAAAAGGAAAACTCATTACAAATAACCCTGCCGGGGTGCAAGGCGTTCAGTGGCCCATCAGGAAAGAGGAAGGCAGGCAGGAGCAGGGCATACAAACCAGCCCTGCCACTCTCGGGCCTCCTCCAGCTCAGCCCTGACCCGATCCCACTGCACCAAGCCAGGCAGTGACACCACCCTGGGAGCCCAAGGTGACACCAGAAGGGTTTGCAGCCAAAAGGTCCTTCCCTGTGCTAGAGAAAACTCCACGCTGGCAGAGACTGCGCAGGCAGGAGAGGAGGTCCCAGCTCATCAGTACTCAAGCACAGGCACTGCAGGGGACCACATCAGCAATATTTTTAGCCTGATTGTTAGAGGTTGAGTTTTTTTGGTTTTTTTTTCTTTTTTTGCATTTCCATCCTTACAGCCACCTTCCCCGTGGGTCCACGCAGCTGAGTCACTGCTGGCACCTTCCAAAGGCTTGGGCGCCAGTGGCATAACAGCTCCGATCGGCAGTGCCAGCCCTCCCCAGCTCCCTAGAGACAGCCCTGCACCAACATGCCTCACCTCCTCTCAGGACACCCCAGTGGGGACCCCAGCCCTTGGGAGCATCAGGACACAGCATCCACCTACTCTCCACGTCCTTCCTTCTCTCCATTGCGGCACAGCTAAGGCACCTGGAAGCACTGGCGACTGCCAACTCCTTGAATCCACGCAGCGTTCAGACACAGGACCACTCCTCTGCCACCCAGAGAGGAGCATTCCACAGCCATTCAGAAGATGCTCCTCAACTAGATCTCCCTTCCCAAGGAGCCCCACATCACCACTCAGAGGCCCTCGTGAAGGAGAAAAAGCTGTGAGCAGGCTGTAGAGATATAACAGTTGCACAGAGATGCCAGCCTCTCACTTCCCCGACCGTGTACACCAGCCCCACGGCGCTTGGAGCAGGAGAGTAACAGCAGCCCAGAACACAGAGCACTCTTGGCCCCGCTGCTGCACACCCAGGAAGGGTGGGATGGAGAGCAGGTGGTCTTAGGACCACGATACCCTCTGCCATACAGCGCTAGACACTCTGAAGGCTGAAGGTTTCTCTGGGGAAGCTGGTTTTACAGCCCAGCCACCCCGGTTCCATGCACTGAGGGGAATACTGGGAGCGAGAAGTGAGGGAACAGGCCTCTCTGTAGGCAGCACCAGGCTGTCACAAAAACCCATGGGGTGCAGATCGTCCGAGGTCAGATCCTTCCTCCGGCTCTTCCCAGGCCTCTGCGGCAGGCAGGAGCTCCAGCACGATGCGCTGCAGTCAGCGGGGGCACCCAACACCAGATACATCCTTGGCGAGCAGGGAGGACACCAGAGCACCTTCAAAAATCATCTCCAAATTCATTTACCCTCTTGAAAACCCTCCAGCCTTGACCAGCGGACCCCACCACCACAGCCCCCTCAACCCCAGTGCCCAACTTGCGAGGTGCAAAGCTTACCCCGGGCTTGTGTGAGCCCCTTGTTTGTCCCTCCACCTTCAAGGTTTCAAGTAGCAAGGTTTCCAGATCCCAAGCGTTTAGTATTCCCTGATTCATTAGGGGAAGCCCACAGGACCCGCAGGCTGTAACAAAGCTACTGCAGTCTGAAAGCGAGCGGACCTGAAGCGCCTGTGCTCGGGCCCACATGCTAAGTTTTGCTGAAATTAGACATAGAAACTTGCACTGATGAAGCTGTCACTTCAAACTCCAGCGCCCCACAAGGGATTTTTATTTGTTTTACAACACACACAGAGACATATAGGGCTGCATCCCACGATCCCAAAGGCAGCATCCCCTGGACATCAGAGTTGGTCGACAGCACCCCCTTGCCACCTCCCAAAACATCTCCATGGGCAAATCACCCTGCCAGGACCGGCCCAGAAGCTATCTGCATTCCTGTCAGCACCAACTTTACACCCAGGGCCTCTCCGTGTCACCCAAGTCTGCACAGAGATGCGCTACCCTTTTAACAAAGCAGCGGCGTGCTGCTAGAAAGGGATGAGTTTCTGTAGCAACCAGGCTGAACTTGTACAAACTCTGCCAAAGCACTAGATCTTTCCATGGACTGAGACTTGAATGAACACATTACCGTTTGTGAAACTGGTTTTCGCAGCCCTCAGAGGCTAGGAAACAAGCTCTTTCCTCCGTTTTATCCCCCATCCCCTCCCTGCTCCATCACCAGGCCGAGGAGATGCGTTAAGTTTGTGCCTGCAGCACTCCTTTTTCCTCCTGCGAATTTACGGAGGAGGACGGGTGCCTCAGGAAGAGTTAACCAAGTCCCACATCGCAGCCCCAAACCTCCTAGCCAGAGAGG